ACTTTTTAAATTTTAATTTATTTTTTGCAAAATACATATTTCCCAGTCTGTGGAAATCCAGACACATTTACCAGTATTTATTTTTCAAAGAGCCATATGCTGAAGCACTTAAAACGTCCAGCTGCCAAGCTTTTTCTCTCATGGAAATTAATTTGGCTATAATCAAGCGTGAGCAATGTGCCAGAAACTTGTCCACAATAGGATCCACATCATGACAACTCCCATTCCTGTGTTCTATGTACTATGTGATACAGGTAGGCCCTGAGTTACAAACATCTGACTTACAAATGACTCATAGTTAAGAATGGGGGCGAGACAACAGGAAGTGAGAGAAATCTACCCCTCAGAAAGGAAATTCACTTCTGGAAGAGTTATCATGGCGAAAAGGGCTCTCTACTGAAGTTTTACCATCAAACCTTGCTTCCACAACAAGCTACGTTTTTTTTTCAAAATCAACTTATCACAGGTACAGAAAGTGAGGTGAAATCCTCTGAACAGGGGTACAGACAGCAAAACAAACTCTGCAGTGATGTTAACCTTGCCCTATGCTATCCAAAGCTTTAATATATATATATGGCTCAAGTTACTCCTAAAAATGTACTTGTTCCGACTGACAAACAAATTCGACTTAAGAACAACAAGCCTACATAATCTATCTTGTTTGTAACTTGGGGACTGCCTGTAATGAAAAATTTAATGAAAGCAACTTGAAAGTTAAGAGACTTTTAAGAATGTAGCTTCAATTTACTGCAAAACAGAAGCATACAATATAACCATATAAACGAACAAATGTAGGCTTTAAGAACCCAATGTAATTAACATTTATAATTAAATAAATTGGGAAAAACCTCTACACAACTCACTTTCTGAAGAAGCAAAAATATAATGGCACAGATAATGAACAAAAATAGAAAACGGGGAGGAGAAAAATAGTTATAATCATTATGGAATTGTAGAATCATAGAGTTGGAAGAGACCTTGTGGGCCATCCAGTCCAACCCCCTGCCAAGAAGCAGAAAAATCGCATTATAAGCACACAATCAAATTATAATTTGGTTACTTTATCAGTCATACTCAGTTAAATGTTGGGCAAAAGGAGTTATGTAAGTAAAAACCGAAGGATTACAAGTCTTCCACATGGCTTTGTAAAGGACACATTATGTGTGCTAAGAGTAGCTTTCTCCATTTACAAAGTAATCAGTCTGAAGTACAGAGCAAGCAGTTGAAATAATGTGTTCAGATTCCATCAAGAATTTTGACCTAGTCCTACAGATCTTCAAGAGAGTTCAAGAAAAAAAAACTAGATAAAAGAACTGAAATGTTGTTAATGAAATTAGCAAGTGGTACTGACAGCACAGTTGCAAAATACTCAGTTTAAATTCCTCTTGCCCTCAACATACAAATAAAGGGACATAAAGTCTATGCCATAAATCCTGATTATTAAGAATTTATTTGATATTCCTAGTTTATGCAAAGGTGTTTCCCTATAGACCTTTTGTAGTGCAAAACATAGAATCTAATGAAGGCTCTATTTGTAAACGTTCTGTGTGTTCCCAGTATGTGTTTTCCTTTTCAAAAAAATCACATACACACATACACCAAGATGAATAGAGAAGGGATTATTGCAGTAGGATATAATTGTTATTCACTTGCACCTAAGTTCTTTGAATGAACAGTGAGGTTTCTGTCTCTCCAGGATGAACTTAAGGCTTTAATTTTTTGGAACCAGGCCACTAAAGACTTGCTTCACTTTCTAATATTTGCTGTTTGTTTAGAAACATACAAAATAATATAAGACAGGATTCATAGGAGTATTACAAGGTGTTTCAAAAAGATGAACCTGATTTGAAATTACTGTATCTTGGTAACCACGAACCACCCATAAATGAAATTCTTACTGCTTGAAAGGTGAAGCATAGAGTTTCAAATTACTGCTAGGTGCCTCTCCCAGGACACAAACAGCCCCTAGTCTCACTCATTCACAGGATATTACTGCCAGCTATTGTCAAAATGGAGTTTATTAGGGTAACTAAAAGAGATCAACATACAGCTGATTACTCATTAAACTGTTTGTAACTGTGTAAATATAACTGTTTTGAACTTGGATACATCATTTTGAAACACCCTGTATACGTCAGTAGATACTGTTCTCCATTAAATTTCCTGAAGAACACATCAACACTTTAATATTTTAGCAAAGAGCAATTTAACCGTTTTGAGTCTTATTTTCAGAATTGAAAGATTATTCTTTATTTGACTTGTTTTCTCTCTATGTCACAAATATCTTATTAGATATCCTAGATCCCACTGAAACATATTTTAAAATGCTATCAACCAACCCTCCCTCAATAGCTGGTAGGTCTCTTTACAGAAATAAGGAGAATCAAAAAAATAATTGGAGGTCATTCTGACTAGAACCTATCCCATAATACAGTTTCCAACATTTGGAAATTGAAATTCCCTTAACATTATTATCCATTATACATATTTCTTATGTAAATACTTCTATGCTACATGTAAGCAACTCATGGTAGACCAAACTATGAAAAGTATCTTCTGTCATATATTTTCCGCATTTCTTTTTTTTAAAAAAAACTTTATGTAAAAAGCGAATTATACTGCAATGCATTTGCTATGTATACATAATGTCTTTAATTTGCAATAGTCATTACTTCCCGCCCTCATTTGGCAATAGATGTGTATAAAAAAGAACAGAAAGCAAATACACTGAAAGCAAATTACAACACTAAGAAGAACCCTGGAACAATCAGCTGTAATGTCAGAAATAAAATTTGCCTGAACACATTGCTACCAAGGCAAGAATAGAAAACTTGTGATTTACAGTAGAGTTGGTATCAGACAGGAGATTAAAAATCTTGATAAAATGCCAATGTCATCTTCAATAATATTTTGATATCTCTTGAGAATGTAGCCAGAAGACATTTAATCGTGTCTGTTTTTCATCAATCCCGGTGGAAATTTTGCAAGAGAGGTTGGTAAGTGACAGGAAAACTTAAGCAGCTCCTACCCTGTCAAGCCATCTTCATTCAAAGAGTTAATAACAGAAATCAGTTGAATAGATTATCCAGTTTACAGACCATGTTGTCAGGTGTAAGTGGATACATCAATATGGCATGAAGGAAAATGAAGACTGAGTTACTGCCCGCTAATGAAAATTAACACATGCCAAATCAATTAGTATCTATATGTCCACTCCTTAGAAGTGTACAATTAGATCAAGCAGAATTCTGTATAAATAAATGTCTTGGTTGAAAATGGTTTTGCAAAAGTCAGGAAAAAATTAAAGAGATGGTGAGGATGGTCCTACTATATGGAGGTCCTTGATGTGGAGGACAGTTGGGGAATCTGTAGGGCAGAATGGCAAATTGTGGGGCAGCGAGGTGAATCTGTCACCAACATCACCCAATTGCCCGTCACAGGCCAGGAAGCATACCTTTCTGGCTCGTTCCTGCACTGCCCCCTGCATTTTCAATCTAAACATGGGTAGTCTGCTGTGTGCAGATTCCCTGATCACAGTACAGTTTGCCGACGCAACCAGCATGGAGCCCTGTCAGAAGTAGTGTGAGTCATGTGATGGGATCTGTGCTGGCTGCATTGGCAAACTATTCTACAATGGGCGGGGGGAGGCACAACCAATTTACTACTCTCATGTAAGCAAAAGGACAGGATTTAAGCCAAGCAAAGAGAGCACAAAGCGAGAAAGGACCTACAAAGCAATGGCCAGAATGTGGAAGAATTACTTATCAGTCTATATAGCTTAAAGGATTCCCTGATCTACCAATCTGCATGAGATTCTGAGATTTATAATTTTTAATTATCTAGGCATTTAAAAGTTGCTGTTTAAAAAGGAATGCTTTTGACATTGCATGGGGACATGTGGCTCCTTATATGTTGTAAGACAACAACTTCTACCAGCTTCTGAGCATTATGTGGATGATGCAGGGAACCTAACAACCTCTGCAGGGTCAGCCATTCTCTGCTCATTTTTAATGAGGGGCTGCATTTGACTGTGTTTGTTATAATTCAAAATCTGTACTGAATTATATTTCCACTTAGGTATGCTGCCCAGACAGCATATATTGGCATTGGCTAAAAGCATACAAATACTGGTTTTATAAATGAATTCCGAGAGGAAATTAATAAGCCAAAGAAGCTGTTGAACAGGGATTGTTTGTAGTGTGACTCTACATGACATACACCTATTGACTAATCAGCTCAGCCCTTTCCAATGACCTAAATGCAACTGCAAATTGCATCCTTCAAATCAATTACTGAATGGTAAGACAACACTTATGTGAATCTCATTGTTTCATTGGGTCTTGGCTAGCTGAGATAAGAAATGGGATTTAGGCCATTGTTCCTTCTGTTTATGATTTTTAGCTATGGGTTTTAATTGCTATTTATTTTCATTAAAAACATTACTGAGGGTTTCTTTTTTTAATGAAAAGTAACACAAAATGTTATTAGATAAAATAAAAAAACGTATCACACTTCAGTAAGTGCTGCTTTAATATGACACCAGGAAAGAACAGAAATGTATTCAAGCTATCTCATATATTGTAGAACACCTGTATCATTTTAAGTCACACATATTTTAAACAACAACCAGCAACAACCGGAGAATACTAACATTTCATTTTCTCTGTCCATTCCCTTTGATTTACCAATTTGTATTTGAACGTAACTGTCAACTCTCCAAAGATCTTATAGCATGGATTTATCCATTCATCAAAACAAAGTCAGTTTAATCAAAAGAAAGCAAACAAACCATTCTAGTACAAGAAGTCAACTTTGTTTTATGAGCGAAGTAAGCAAGGGCACTGGGGAATTAATATGACTGTCCAGAGAACTAATGGACCTGGAGACACTTAGGGAAAAACCCTAAGTCTTGTATGTATGTTTTTATGTCCCATAAGTGTTAATAAGGTTTGGGGGTATCAACTTTGCCATTTACTGGTATCGGAATTTACAACACTCACCTAGCTTGCTGGCATACATTGCAGAGCCAGGTTTTCTCCTTCCTCTGGTACGAGCTGCAGTTCTTACAGATGTTGTATTTACAGTCTTGGCACTGTCGCTTTGTGTTGATAAGAAAAGTAAAAGGGGAGCAGCAACGCATGCAGCAGCGCTCATTAAACCTCTGTTGCTTGGAAAGGATGCTGCACTTGTCGACCTCTTCATCAAGCTTCTGCTTCATTTCACTGGAGCCACAGAAGAAAGGAACAAAAGGAAGAGAGAATCAATGTTATCCTAAGGAAAGAGTGCTCAGTTGTTTGCTCCCTGAACCTGCCTTCCATATAACTTTGATAAATTGTACATTTCTTAGACTGCTTAGTGATGAATTACTGGGTGGGAACAGGAATGCTGACCTTGTCCATTCTATCTTAATCTTTCCACATCTATCCATGCCTTTTATCAGAAAATGTGAACACGGGAAGCCTTTCATGTTTTCAGGGCTCTGCCCTAGGATACTTTCAGAATAGGGACATATCTGACTCTTACACAATTGTTTGTGTTTTCTTACTTTCCTTCCCATTCCCTTGAGATGTAGCTCCTGTTCACTTCTGTTTTATTTTTTACTTCCTGGATTTTAAAAAAGGCCTCTTCTGGCTTCAAAATGTCCTAAACTGAACCAAAATTGTAACAAAATTCTAGCACATATGGTATTGCTGGGCATTTATAACTGAAAAGTGCCTTTTTAAATGTTAAAAATAAATGTGTGATGGTTTGGTCCTCCAAAGTCCCGTGGAGCTGAGGCAATTTGTCTCCAATACCCTTGGAAATTGTGCAGATAAATTTAAATGTTTCAATCCAGATCAGCCCAATCATGCATTACCCAGGATAGTAGAATTCAGAACTGTTCTGGTTCTAAAAGGAAAAATACATGTACTGAGGAGAACTGACTTCTCCCAGTTTAGTTCCTCAAATCCACCTAAAGATGTATTGTTGAAGGCTTTCATGGCTGGAATCACTAGGTTCTTGTGGGTTTTTTTTCGGGCTATAGGGCCATGTTCTAGAGGCATTTCTCCTGACGTTTCGCCTGCATCTGTGGCAAGCATCCTCAGAGGTAGTGAGGTCTGTTGGAAATAGGACAATGGGTTTATATATCTGTGAAATGGCTGGGGTGGGGCAAGGAGCTCTTCCCTGCTGAGCTAGGTGTGAATGTTTCAACTGATCACCTTCATTAGCATTTGAAGGCCTGCCTGAGCCTGGGAAAATCCTCTGTTGAGATGTGTTAAGATGTGCCTGGTTGTTTCCTCTCTGCTGTTTTGCTGTTGTAATTTTAGAGTTTTTTAATACTGGTAGCCAGATTTTGTTCATTTTCAGGGTTTCTGCAACTGTGGACTAGTCTACATAGGGACCACCAAACACAGCAGCATTGCCCAAACACACATCAAGGAACATGAAAGGCACTGCAGACTACTTCAACCAGAGAAGTCAGCCATAGCAGAGCACCTGATGAACCAACCTGGACACAGCATTTTATTTGAGAACACAGAAATGCTGGACCACTCAACCACCATGTCAGACTACACAGAGAAGCCATTGAAATCCACAAGCATGTGGACAATTTCAACAGAAAGGAAGAGACCAGACATTGGACAAGATGGCTAGGGCTTTGGGAGCTGAAGGCCCAAACATTCAAAGGGTCCCAAGTTTGATAACTTTGGCCCAATGTCTTCCACTGTACCCAAGGGCAGCAGGGTGTTTTAGGGAAGGGAGGATAGGCTCTGTGACACATGCAACTATCTCTTTTCACTTGCATCTCCTGTCTGAGGCAGTGGCTTCATTCTGCTTAGTAGTAGGGCCAGCAACGAGTGGATGGTTGGGTTTATAATGTCAGTTCTGGGCCACTGTGGTCTTAAAAAAGATCTTTATCTGTGTTTTTCTGGGGCAGACCCATAATGAAATACACAAGCCTACTGCTTGAGGCTCCAAGTTCATTATTTTCCAAAGCTTCACTACATTACATACTAGCATCCGTAAAAACCCAATTACTGCTGGCAATTCAAAACTATGTTCATTAACAAAGACTTTTGACATTAGCAGGCCAAAGAAACAGCATCCAATTTGTGTACATTTTTTTCAAATGTCACAAAGCCAAGGCAACAAAGCAAAAATTATATGCATTCACAGCTAAGCCAATTATATGACTGGTGGCTGATGCAACTGTCAACATGCCAAAGTTGCACAGCCTTCTTAAAATGTGTAACAAGAAAAACAGTTGTTCTGAGAGAAAATAAATCCAACTTGAACCAAAAACTAGAAATATGTCTCACATCATTCCCACGTTATTTCAATTTTTAGGCAAAGTAAGTTCACCACAGGAATACTTCATGCTCTGCTCTGTATAAACCCTGTGTTTTGATGTTTTATTTCAAAGGGAGTTATGATGTTTCTTAGATACTGCGTTTTTAAAATGTGATGATAAAACAGCCATTCAGTCATCACCTTTTAAAAATGCAGTGAAAATGTACTGATCATAAATTCATGCTGATATAATTTCAAAATGGTATCCATCGCCTGCTAAACTTGAAAATTTATAAAATGTTAGTATATTTTTTCAATGACATGTTGAATTATATAGAATATTCATATAGCTACCCTGTGTTCCTGAAAATAAGACCTACACAAAAAATAACTCCTACTTCAAAAATAAGCCCTAAAAAATCAATTTGGAAAAATAAGACATCCCCTGAAAATAATTTCAATCCATTTTTTGGTGCAAAAATTAATAGAAGACCCTGTCTTATTTTGGGGAAAACAGAGTAATGACCACTGATGGGTTCAACTGACATGAATATGACATGTGTTTGGACAAAGCCATTACAAAGACAAGTTCACAGTGATTGAATGCACTTTGGGCCAAAACCGTTCTGTTGCATTTGTCATTGATAACTCAGAGGTTGTCCATTTTTCATTTTTACACTGTATTTTTTTCATGACCTGGAAAAATCAGCATTATGGCTAACACATTAACATTCTGTCATTACTAGAAAATTAGTTTGATAACTTTCTAGGATTTATTCAATTGCTTATGAATTGGAGACCTAATTATTAAGGAAGGAAGGAACTGGCAAAACCACCTCTGAATATTTCTTGCTGAAGAAATTCACAGGACTATGAAATTCCTGTGAGCTGCCATAAATCAACAGATGACTTAAAGGCATGAACACACATACACACAATTGGAATACATTACATAGATGCTTTGAGGAATTCAAACCATTTTTGAATAAGTAAGTGACTGAGATATATTGACTGCAAATACATCTAGCCATTCTGCTGTTCATTGTTAGCCCTGTTTTATGTTGTCTTCTGATCCATTAAACAAGAGGTTCCTGTTCAATAATAACTAGAAATAGTAAGAAGAACTGACGCCATCCTTGTCTTGTGTCTCTGTTTAATTGGGCAGATTTTGAATCCAGTTGGCTTGTGGAAACTGAGACATATCTGGAATATATTTCATTACTGCTCTTGGAAACTGTTTTCCAAGGCCCATATGTTCGAAAATGCTGAAGAGCTATGATCAGCTGATTCCATCAAATATTTTGAGGGCATATAGGGATAGTGAAGGAAGTGTCTGGGTAGGACAGAAATAAAGTTTTATTATTATAACTGTTATATTCAATTACCACTGTGATGAATTATACTAAGTACACGCAGCATATCACATCTGTCATCTGCCTGGAAGGCTCAAGCTCTGCCTGGTCAGTATGCATATATAATGTGATATATTGATTAAGGCATTTGGCTGAGAGTGATGGGCATATCTTACTTCCTTGATCAATTGAGGAAATCGGGCAATAAGCTGCTGGGTCTAAGTGATCTTTCCTTGGTTCAGATATAATAATCAACATTTTCCTTTCCAGTGATCTGAATTTTTCCTACTGTCAGAATTGATATTATGTGTGAGTTTTGAGTTTCTCCAAGTGATTTATAAAACTTTCCAGAAAAATCATTATTGCAGTTTACTTTTAAAGAAATGTTTTGACAGTTTGCGAAAAGGTGCACAAACCTACTAAATTAGGATTTTCTGAGTGACAGATTATCTGATAAGAACTTTAAAACATCTTTTTTTAGTGTTTGCAAAGTAGTATTGCCCATTTAGGTGTGTGGAGCCCATTCTGATGCACAGACCTGGATGATTTCCATTTCAATGTTCTACCCAGCCTTTTAAATCCTTAATGGCTAATCTCAAGGTCATGATTCATGAATATATCAAAAAGGATTCTATCATGTTCAGTGTGTTTCTGTTTTCCATACATTTTATTGCCTTTGGTTGTTTTGTGTTTTTCTGAAAGAATATGAAGTACCTGCGGTGGCATGGCTCTTTTCTGCTCATCAATTACCATCATTATGATATTAAGTCTTTTTGAATGGGGGGAGGTGAGGGACTTAGGGAGGGTCTCAAGTGATTTTTGGCTTCAGGGGAGTTTCAATTGATTTTTTTTTTTACCCAAAAGCTACACTGATGGATTGAAGCCATCAAATGCAAGTGTTGGAAAAAAGGTAGTTGACATTACAGGAGCATGGTCAGATTAGATAATTAGTTTCATATCTCCATTTATAATTTAGGGTAGCAGTGTATTCAAAAACAGAAAATAATTCTTGAGAAGGTATTATGATTGCATGCATAGAAAGTATAGCGTTTCTCATTACTTTACTTCGCTCTCCAAATACTTGCTAAAATATATTGGTTTAATGTTTCATGAATAGGGCTGGTGAGTTGGATTACATAGAAAGCCCTATTTCACCCACCCTATGCAAAAAGTAAAAAAACCAAACAAAAATGCCCAACAGAGGAATTCTCATAGAAGTATTCAATCAGACATCTGGAAGGGACCACAAGAGTAATTTAGTCCAATGCCTTGCTTTGCAGAAATACACAACCAAAACATTCCTGAAAGGTGCCAATCTGATCTATTTAAAGAAGGAGGGTCCACTACTCCCGGAGGGCCCTTCTACAGGCCCTAAAATGCAGAAGTTACTGGGTTAAAAGGGTGGGCAGCTAAATGATGCTAGTGCTAAATCTGATTTGCAGTAACAGATGAAAAACATATGTTAAAAAGGTCTGCTTATATCCCTGTGATTTCCTTTTCTCCCTTCTGTGTAGACTGCTCCAGTGGATGTGCATTTTTTAAAAGTCCGAAACAACTGATCAGCTAATTGGGTTGTTAAACAGACACACAGATGGCTT